AGAAATGGGTCTTAGCAGTAGGGTACTACAAGGAGCTGACCCGGAAAGGTTGTCGTCTTATCCTGGAAAAAGTAGCAGTTAATTTACATGGACTTTTCTGCCATCAAATAGATTAGGATTAAACAGTAGAGAGCCAAAATAACTGAACAGTGTTTTAATAAAAAAATAAATCAGAAGTTATCTATAAGCTTCTCACTTTCAGCTTCGTGGCCAGATTCTTCAGGTAAAGCTGTGAAGCAAAACTAGCAGGATATTAAAATGAACAGTCATAATTTTATGCTGATATATATACACATGCATGATTTTTCCATTAAATTTGCACCTCAGTATGCACTGAAGAAACCATCAGTCACTTAGACATGCGTGTAATGACCTGATGTTATATATTTATATTAGATTTTCTTCAAAACAGGCTTCCCAAGCACCAAGTACATGAAGTTTTGCTGTCTGTGGAGAGTGGGCTTTGCTTCAATGGAATCATAGAATCATAGAATAGTTAGGGTTGGAATCTTTCCCTTTTGTCTTTTTGGACATACTTGCAGTAATTGAGGGAGTGGAAAGAAGCCTGAATTCATTGTACTTAATTGCAAGAATTAAATTAAGACACAGTTCATACATACGGTGCAAACTTGATCAGTGAGATGTTTTCCAGGAGGATGACTGAGGCTTTCAGGGGCTAAGATAGATCCTGTCTTGGCACCACACTGAAATGCCTTAAAGCAGGTAGAGTGAATTCAGCCTTTGAATAATTCATAGTAAATTTCTTCAGCACCAGGGATAAATTACCTGTTTGTTTATAAATATGGAGAGTTTCTAAATGAGAAATGTTTTGTATGAACAATGTTTATTGATGTCTAAGAGAATAAATGCATCCAAACTTTGCATATATTGACATATGCATAAATCTGCAGCAAAATCAGGTATTGGTTAGGAAGAGCTGCTGCTGAGGGTGTATGATGGAAAGGATTCTGGTATTAGGTTCTGATTTAGGAGTCTGCCACCATCTCTTTTCCTTTTGCTGTCTGACTCATATTTATCAGTTTAATTGAATGCAGCCTGGAAAACCACTTAAAAACTGCAGTTTTGAGCGAGTAAGAAGTTTAATTTGTCCATAAATGCAGAGATCACTTGAAAGTGTAGAGAGAGGAAATTTGAAGTGTTACCATTTTTGAAAGGAATTTGAGCTGTGTAAGGAAACAACGATTCTCCAATTCCACTATTTATGCTGTAACACGTGTAACTTCATTCTGAAATGCAGAGATGAGTAAAACCTGACTGGTAGACAACTTGCACTCTCCTGTACCATACTGATTCAAGATTACAGAATAACTTTGATGGAGGAATTTCTCTATAACCCAGAGCTCCGACTGAAATCCTGGTGAACCTTTCCATGGTTTGTGCAGAGCAGCTTCAGTTTTCACTTTGTATTTTCTTGCCTTTTTCTCTTAAAGATCTGTAAAATACGTGCTTGTTGAGAAAGGAAAGAAATAGTGCAATTTTTTGACATATCTGAGAGATAAAGAACAAAGGTCATATTTAGCTTCATTTAATGTCATCTTCACATCAATTGTGAATATGATGTGATAGATCTATATAAACGTTCCCACTTTTCTGGAGTTACTTGTAACTTTTTAGGCAGAGAGGAGCAATAGGTGACGTGCTTCTTGTCTCCTTTTATCATTTCTTGTAACCAGTGACACTGGTTCTGTTTGCTTTCCTATTTAATTTTTAGAGAGACATTGTATGTGCTTCCCCGTATCTTCTCTTTTTCAACGTCCCCCATCCGTATAGGTCATTTACTTTTTCTTCGTCTTGAACCATTCCTTTTCAAGCCAACTACAAGGAATGAGGCATTATTTGGTGGCTGAATGCAGTGGTTATCCTTTGGAATTGCTGCTTCTCTCTAGTGTAAAAACCCCAACCCAAGAACCTCAAAAGCAAACAAACCAGTAGCATTTAGTAGTTTTTATTATTACTATTTCTCCCAGCCTTTATGCCTTAAAATCTAAAGGAAATAATTTAATATGCTTATTCCTACCCAGACACTTCGTATGGTTCTATCCCCCTTTTATTTCCCCTCCTCCCCCTTTACAAACTTCATGAAGATAGTCAATTCAAATGTGTCAGAAGAGATTATTTCAGCCACACTTTAATTCATCTCTGGGGTCCTTTGGGAGGTTTTTGTGTGGGAAAAACCCCACTACCCCAAACCCCATTTCATTCCATAATTGCGGTATTTCTTCTTACAGCCAAGCCTTGCTCTAGGGTTCAGCATCTGGAGAATGGATGTTACACTGTTTTTAAGCTGTTAGGTTCAAATCTGCTAGGTAATTTTTTAAAAGGTATTCTCTTGGACTTAGTTGAATTGAAAAAATATCACTGCATCTACTGAAAGCTAAAAATGTAGCACGATGACAGTCAGTCTGAGATGGTTCTTCATATTTTTTGGTAACCCCTTTTAGCCAGATTCTTTGGAGATATTTCAGGTTACAATAAAAAGTGACATCTGCAGCAGTTCTTTTAATTAAAATTTTACTCTTGGGTAACTTTTATTTTAGTTCAAACAATCAAAAGAAAAACAAATCCCTTGGTACGAAGTTTGGACAAGAAAATTGTAAGCCTCTCTGTACACGGACTCAGAAGACATTGTTAGAGCAGAAGGATACACTATTGGAGTAATGGAGATAAATGAATAAAATATCTAAGTTGATGTTTAATTTTTCTCTAAGAAAACAGTTCTATAAGGCAGAGGAAGGACATTCTTGCTAGGGAATGCTTTTGCAGGAGGGAGAACAGGAGGATCGCTCCTGGACTCAGGCGAGCAGCATTGTTCTGAACTGGGACTTAAACCAGGAGGTGGTTTGAATGTCTGGCGTGGTGTACTTCACATCTGTTAATGTTTCTTTAGCCGCAGCTTACTAAACCCAAAAATGTAAATAGTCAGGTTAGTGCCTTTACTACATGGATTTGTGCCCGAGTCACCTTTTCAGTTGTACCAAAGTGTCTGTTTAGTGTTTTCAGTAGGACTTCATTGGCCTTGGCTATTAGTTTTGTTTGGGAAAGAACTTCACTGCTTAATATGTAAAACAGAGGAGAAGGAGAAACCCTGTCAGTTCTTCCCTGAAGTGATAGTGGTCTTGCAATCATCATCCCTCTAAAAGAAAAACGTACTTGTTTCACATATCTCATTGCTTCACAATGAGAACAGTCGGCCACTGGAATAATCTCCCCAGGGAAGTGGTAGACTCCTCAATGTTGGACGCTTTTAAGATTCATCTGGACAGGATGCTGAGACACCTGCAGGCAGAAGTCAATCCATCATGCAGATCAAAACCTGGCTTCATGGCTGCTGTTGTCATTAGGGCTTTGGTTTCTGTGATCATGGGAAGTCCTTCAACAGATAAGGCCTATATGGGAGAGACAGGATCCACCTACCCAGGCAAGGGAATCTTTGCTAGCAGATGGGCTGACTTTGCCAATATTGAACTTAGGTGGTAGTGTCCAAAATTGTGACACCTGCATATTCATAAGGAACAGGGTGGATGAGTGCACCTATGAGAGCAGTTAGGAATGCTCCCCAACCCTCTCCAAAGGCAAGAACCCTGGGTTCAGCCAAGTAACATGGGAACAAAAAGGAGGAACTGGTGCTTCATGCCCAGTCTGAGAGTTATGATGTCAGGAACCAGAGAGATGTTGTGGGAACACTCACATGGCTGGAAGACCACAGTGGATGGCTACAAGCTCTTTCAGAAAGATAGGAAAGGAAGGTGAGGGGATGGAGTTGCAATTCATGTGAAAGAGAGATTTGAATACATGGAGCTGAGCTATGGAGACCACAAAAGTTCTATCAAATACCTTTGGATTAAGACTGGGGAGATCATCACCAAGGGACATCTTGTGTCAGATATCTGTTACCAGCCTCCCAGTCAGGACAACAAGGCTAATGAAACCTTACTTAAGCTGCTTAGGGAAGTCTCAGGCCAATAGAACCTGCTTCTCATGGGTGACTTCAATTACATGGACATTTCTTGGGGAAGCAACACAGTGCTTCCCCAAGTTGTCCATCAGTTTCCTGGAATGATTCCTGCTTAGGTGCTGGACCTCCCACCTAGGAAAGGCGCAGTGCTAGGTTACTGCTCACAAACCAAGAGGGCTTGCTTGGCAACATAGCTTCCATTGATAGCCTTGGATACAGTGACAACAACGTTGTGGAGTTTAAGACCCTGCTGAGCACACTGAAGACCAGTAGCAGGACAAAGACCCTGGATTTTAGAAGAGCCAACAAGAATGTGCTTAGAGCCCAGGTGCAAGGGATTCCATGGGAAGCATCCATGGAGGGCAAAGGAGCTTGTGAGTGCTGGGAGTTACTCAAGAACAGCCTCTTGGATGCACAAGAACAGTCCATTCCCTACTAAGGGAAAGGAAGAAGGCAGAACAAGAGACTGCCTTGGCTTAGCAATGAGCTTTTGGGTACGTTCAAAGGCAAAAAAGCAGCATACCAGCTATGGAAAGGCACCCAAATACCCGTTGAGGACTAGGAGAACCTTGGTTTGGAGGTTTTCAAGATGTAACTGGACAGGGTGCTAAATAATCTGATCTGGGCTCCCCTTCCCATGAAAAAAGTAGGACCAGAGGAACTTTTGAGGTCCCTTCCAACATGGGATATTCTATGATTCTGTTTTATTTCATTTGTGGCAAAGCTATTAAAGTGCTTTGAAATGCAGTCTTTTACCTTTGACTACCTGTGTAGATGCTGTACACATGATGCCATGGTAGATGTTAGATGCTATATACATGATGCCAAAATACATAATACCTTGCCTTTTTCAATATATCCTCAAATTGTTGGTTCTTTTGGATATTATGGTGGTTAGAATTCACTCAGAGACAGTAAATGAAGGTTGATCTACTATGAAGGAGGAAAGAAATTTAACTGTAGGTGTTTAATACCTTAAATAAGCATTTCCTGTAAATACTGAATTGTACCTTTTATTTTGCAGGCACTATAAGAAGCGTTGTCAGGGCCGGATGAGGAAACACGTTGGTGACTTGTGTTTACAAGCTGGAATGTTACAGGATTCCCTGGTGCATTATCACATGGCAGTGGAACTTCTGCGCTCTGTGAATGACTTTCTGTGGCTTGGAGGTAGGATGAAGTGGTGAGAGTGACTCAGAGTTGCAAAACCCAAGTAAATCAAACTTTTCTCTAACTTTCCTTTTGTATTGTGTAAAGTAGGGATGATTTTGGTGACTAAACTCTGAATATGAAATGTGACTGAGAATGAAGTTGAAATAAAAGTTAGTTGATAAGACATGAGGAAGAAATGTGCTTGAGAAAACCTGCAACTTAAAACGTGTTACCGTAGTAAAGCATGTACTTAAAAAAGGAAAAATGATTCTCTGGGAAGTATTTCTTTCTTTTATTTTTCAGTGGGTTCTACAGATGCTTTAAAAACCTTCCCTGTGGTGTATGTTATGGACTGTAAGGAAATGATTTCTGCCTTTACATCTACCACGGTCACAAATATTTAACTTCCACTGGCATAACTTCCTTCCATTCACGTTAGGTCCTGGCCTTCACTTCTTTTCCACTGCCTGTTCCTTCATCCTTTGCCTTTTCTCATTCCTGCCTTTTTCTATTTTTTGGATATACAAGCGATCTTTGAGCACAATTTCTGCTTCTCACATTCATGCCCTTTCAGGACAATTGCTGTCTCCAGTTCTGCTTTTAGCTTTCTTAGTCTACTTAGAAATCCATTTAGCTTCCTAAAGTTACATATTTATATTACATTTAATTACACTCTAATTATATAATGAATTTAATTACTAATAAATGATAACATTTTTAAAAATTAATAGTTATTAAATACTTCAAATCTTATTTATCAGCATTTGTTATAATATTAGTATTTAATTACATGACATCTATATTATTTATGTCATTATTATATTACATTTAGCTCTGTAGGTTACATGTTATGAAAACCGTAACACTTTCTCACCTTCCACTTCTTTCCTTCTACTCTTCCAAAAAGTTAAATAGCTCAGGATTCTTCAACCAGGAAAGGAGATCTTGTGTAGAGCATGGAAATGTTTTAGGGCCCATCTGTTGGAGAACCAAATTATACTTACAGACTCATACAGTAGTTTGGATTGGAAGTGACCTCTGGTGGTCCCCAAGTCTCATCTCCTGCTCATATCATGTCCAGTTAAATCAGGGTGCTCAAGGACCTGTCCAGTTGAATTTTAGGTGTTTAAGGGTGGAAGTTCTGCAGTCTCTGAGCAGCCCATTCTAGCATTTTGCTGCTCCTACTTTGAAAAAGCACAACAACAAAACACAAATTTTGCTACATTAAAGCAGAATTTCCTGTGTCAACTTGTGTTAGCCCTAATCCAAGTGGATTAAGTGTTCTGCATGTCTGTCTTCCTCTACTGTGGCTAGTAAGTACTCCTACAGATTCTGCTGTAGTAGGCTTGGGGAGGTCTGAGGGTAAACCTTGCCAGTGAAAACAGAGACAAAAAGGACATTGAGTATCTCAGGCTTTTCCGTGACCATTGTCATTAGGTCTCCAATTTGAGGCATGCTTCATGTTGTGTAAATAGACTTCATTACATGATACTTCACTTCTTCTCCACTAATCTGTTGGCTTTTTCTTTACAGCTGCTCTGGAGGGGTTATGCTCAGCATCAGTCATTTACCATTATCCGGGTGGTACTGGAGGTAAAGTTGGATCTCGCAGGGCACAAGGAGGTTCTCTTTCTGCTGAGGCAGGCAACAGGCACAGGCCAGGTAAGGGTGGGATTTTGGTTTTCCTCTCTTTGCCACCACTGAACATCTGGAAGTTTCCTCCCTGCATCCTAAGTCTATAAAACTATACCAATGACAGGATGGAGGAAAAGGGTGGGAAAGGAAAACGTATTTCTTTTAAAGACTATTACATTTATGGCTTTACAGTTTTAGTGTTACATGTCAACATGTGCTTTGCATAGAGTTGCAAAGGGTTTGATCTCTTCATCTGATTGTTACTAGTGTCTGCATTAGTTTGAATTTTGCTGGCGGAGATGCAGCCAGCTTTCATAAAGTACAGAATATGTGCAGCTCTGCCACATCACAGGAAGTTAGGTACATTTATTCAGAGGTGATTTGCTATTCTAAAGTCAACGTTTAATAAACAGATATGGTTAACTCAATGCCAATAAACCAACATAATTTTTAAGGTTCAGCATACTTTTTCTGAACTCTCAGATTGAATAACTAATACAAGGATTAACATTGATGTGATAGACATTCTTTGAGAAATGGTCTGCTTAAAGTGTTTTAGAAATCACTAGGAGAGTAACAGAGAAAAAATACCATGAAGTCTGTTCACCTGCATCTGGAATATTGTATGCCATTTCCCATAAGAAATCTTGTACAATCCAAGATGTTCTTTGCCTATAATAAGCCCCATATCCCTGTAGGTAGTAACCCCCCCAGTCTGAAGATGGTCCAGAGAGTGGTCCTGTTAACTGATCGTGATGGGTTTCACCCCTGAGCAGCTCTGTTTGGTCTCTTTAGGTTCTTGGGGTTCACCTGCTTTGTCGCTGTACCTCTGTTCCTTTGTGTTTGTGCAAGGAGCCTTTAACTGCATAATCTAACACTTGCCACACAATGTGAAGGCTCCTCAAATTTTCTGTGGTTCCAGCAGGGGCTGTGTAGGGTAGTGAAAGAAAAGGGGTTTGATTATTATAAGCTGGGTGGGCCTCTGGGCTAACCCAGCTGCTATGTGTGTACTCGGGTTCTTACGCAGTACTGTGACAACCAGAAGGTGGATTTAAGTGCTGGTGTTAAGTCCTCTTGTGTGCAATGTGATCAGAATGAATTCCTCCATCAGAGGAAAGCAACCACTCATCTTTATTCATCTCTAAATCATAATCTAGTTAATCTATTAAATGCTTGCTTTGTATTACCTTTATTACAAACTGTGTATGTTGACACCAGGTAGGTGATACACTAAAATTACCTTGTTTCAGGAGAGAATACTAGTTTTTCATATAATAACTACTCATTAAAATCTGTGTTTATGGTCCCATCACCTGTGAGGGCGTTTTACGTTGTCTGTTCCAGTATAATTTCACACAGTTGTTGACCTTTATCTACTTTTCAATGAATATTTAACAATAGAAGCTGCAATCTGTTTGTAATGGGTATTCCTTGTTCCTAAAAAAGATAATAACTAAGTCATAGCTATCAAAATAATTGAATAAAATATATTTTGGGTATATTATTGCTGCTTCTCTGTATAAATTGTCTTGTAATTCCAAGTCCCGTTTGCAAACTTTTTAGTGTGGTCATACTTAGTTTCATATGACAAGACTTTTCAGAGGACTTTTGTGTGAAGAAAAGCTGATACAGGATTTTTGTCATCACTTCCAGATGAAAATGTTACTTCATGGTCCAGTAGATATTGTTCCCTAACTCTACTTATGATCTCTTAATGTTTGCAGATCTGAACTGCTGAGCTCTGTCTAGCCAAACAGCCATTGGTGTGATGTCTCTTTCCTGCAGGGTTTTCTGGAAGTTTCTTTTCAATACCTGTTTTTGACTCTGCAGTGCCTTTCATTTAAAATCTTTTCAAACTGCACCTTTGTTTATAATCCACTTTGTTATAATTAGTTTTGTGAGGACAGTATTTAATCTGGGGAACAAATTCCAGTGTATCTATCTTCCTGTAGGGTAAGGCCAGAAACAAAAAGGGTTTCCAAATTCTGTGCAAATCAAGAAAAGCTGCACTTGGAACTGACATTCAATTTGTGCCCACTTTTGAGGCATTATTGATGTGAGAGTTACCTTTATTGCTTCCTGATGTGCCTGGAATTGCATCTCTTCTTGTGCCCGTACTTCAGCCTTGACAGGACGGGTTTTCTTGTTGCTGCCTTTGTGCCCAGACCCGGTCAAGAGAAACCTGTCTCTCTTGGATCTCCTGTCATTCCCACCATTTGGCATGTTTAGGCTGTTGTGCAGGACCTGGTTGCTCAAAAAGTATTGTGGTATCTGCTTTGTATAGAAACAGCTTGGGGAAGGGAAGCATTAATATCATCTCTCTTTGTATAATATAGAGCACAAGCTTAAGAGGGCAGCATTAAAGGGTTTGGTGATGTACCCTTCAGCTTTTCCTGAAACTTTTTGGGTAGGAAAAGTTCATTCAGAAGAGAGGTGGTTATAACATAGTGTTTAAAGTACTTGTCTGGTGGAAGGGGGCATGGAATCTTGCCTGCTCCAAAGACAGGAGCCTGGTCATTGCCATGTCCCTTGTACAGCAGTCTTAACTGGTTGTGAAAAGACATAACATGGACCTGTTGGAGTGAGTCCAGAGGAAGCAATGAAGATGCTCTGAGGGCTGGAGAACCTCTCCTATGAGAGGGTCTGAGAGAGCTGGGTTTATTCAGTCTGGAGAAAACTCTGGGGTGACCTTGGAGCAGCTTCCAGTGCCTAAAGGGGCTACAAGAAACCTGCAGAGGGACTTTTTACAAGGACGTGTACTGGTAGGACAAGGTGAACGGCTTTAACCTGCCAGAGGGGAGACTGAGGTGAGCTCTTAGGCAGAAGTTCTTCCCTGTGAGGGCACTGGCACAGGGTGCCCAAAGAAGCTGTGGCTGCCCGATCCCTGGCACTGTTCAAAGCCAGGTTGGACACAGGGGCTTGGAGCAACCTGCTCTAGTGGAAGGGGTCCCTGCCCGTGGCAATGGGGTTGGAGCTTGGTGATCTTTAAGGTTTCTTCCAACCTAAAACATTCTGTGATTCCATGAAAAGGGAACTTTGATTTTTTTTAAGGAAGCGTGACTTCTCACGTTCCTAAACTCTTCTGTTTGTAGGGGGAGAGCTTTAGGCTGTGTCCCCTTGAAGGGCTGGATTCATGTCTGCAGCCTTCAGTATAACAGAAGATTTTGAGTTGCTTAGTTCCTGTTGGCCAGAAAGCTGGTCCATAGTGAGTTGGCTGTGTGATTTATGTATTGAATAACCCAAGTTTAGATTGCTCTGTGTCCCTTACTAGCTGTTTTGGGTTTCTCTATTGTGTTTTATTTGCTTGAAGTGCTGAGCTCTTAATTTGTCACCTCACTTTCCTCTTTCCCCAAGCAGAAGTAGGACACCCGAGTAAAGTGTTGAAGTATCTTAATGATCTAGCTCTAAATCTCTGCTTCACCAGCTTGAGGTCTGAGCAGATCAACTGAAGGGAGGTCCTGTCTCATTCGTAAAGCAATGGTTTTTGACTGCTTAACAGTTTTATTCCCATGTTTAATCCAAGTTTAGGGCAACAAGGTGTTATATAGCTGAGAATCCTACTTCACAATACTCTTGGCAACTATTTTATGTGAATATCCTGGCTCGTTGGGTTGGCATCCCTCAATTATTCAGAAAATGTGGTGGAGTGAAATTAATGGCAATTGAAAGGGATACAATTGCTTGGAAGCGTTATTCATGTGTATTGTGTAGATTAAATGAGCTCCCACAAGGAGATTTAAGTGCTATAGGACCTGATGTTAAACTACAGTAAGTGGATTGTGATGGAAACTTGCCAAGTAAAACAAGAATAAAGGAAAAGGATATGGGTTTAAGTTATACACTGAAAACTCTTCAATTCCCGATGTGGTTTAGAATTGATTGCAAGTTTATGGGATTTCTACGTTTATTTTTTAACAAAATGAGATGTAATGTGGTGACTCCTTGAATTGTGAATGGTAGTCCTTGAAAAAAGCAGTGATGATCCTGATAAATCTTATCATTTTGTTCAAGCTTATTTTGTTGGCTATATTTAAGGCTGAAAACAAAATCATTTTTGTTCCTCCTTTTAGGGGCACAAGAAGTTCTCATTGATCCAGGTACATTATTTTCATGCATGTTTCCAAAGTATTTTCTTTCATTATTTGCATATGTTTTGCATTTGTATAGACAGTTACTGCCACTGGCCAAAACTAGGACTGATTCCTGATGTTTCAGATTTTGGCTATAAATCTTGAGGAAGCAAAGAGCCTGAAGGGTAACTGGCACAACAGAAATGATGTAGTTCCATGATTGTGTCCCTGTAAATTTTAACCAAGATTGTTTCTTCTTATGAGTAGGGAGGATTTAAATTATTTTTTTAAACCAACAAACCTAAATAGTCTCATGTAGTCTTGTAGTGTCGTGGGGCTCTCTCAGTCCTCAGTAACAGAGATTTTACACTTAACTTCCATGAGAACCCTAAGGTTTGATCTACAGATGTGCTTGGTAGGATTCTTCGTAGGTTGATAAACATACCAGATAGTTGTTTTAGCATTTCAGCATGTAAAAGAATGTATTTCTGAATGTATACAGAGAGTAGAAAGTATGTTTAACAGATTCTTTAACTCTCTGTCCATTGAGAGTTAGATCCAGCTCTGAAACACAAAAATTCCTTTGCCATCTCGATAGGGAACCTTTTGGAAAAATAAATTACCATGTAATCCTACAGATGAGCATGTACAAAGCTACAGAGCCTTGCCAAACCTTAGGTGTATGCTTTCAACTTTATTATCTTAACTCTGCAATAAAATTAAATTCAAGACATAAAATATTCATGTTCTTTGTAATACCCCAGATTTCCTTGGCTTCTACTTAAGATTCTTATCCTTTATGTATGTAAAGACTTTCTGTCTCTCACCTTCTTTCTCATAGAAGAAAAGCAAATTAAAAGGTAATTTTCCATTTAAACATGGAAGGCTCAGCTTTGGTGGCCTTTACAACGTAACACTTAGTTTTCTGTGAGTAGGCAGAGGGGAGAGAAGTATGTTTTAAATGATTGGAGGAGGTCACTGTCCTAATAACTAGTTTATAAAAAATAGCACTTTTTTTTTGGTTAAGTGTGCTTTAAAACTACAGTTTTTAAGTAGAACAAGGAGTAATTGGAAGATTAAAACTCCATATTCAGGCAATCTAGCTTTAGCAATCTAATACTTTATTCATCATCTAAATATTCAGATGAGTGCAAAAGATGATGAATATATTTGTGTTTTACTAAGTGAAAGATTATTTCCTGTTTGCTGCTTTATGATTGAATCCAGTTTTCATTTGTACTCTTTAGCATAGTAAACCAGAACTAGTTTTTTCTAGGCAGGGCATGATTTCTTTCTATGTGGGACAAGTGTTTGTGTATGCTTTGGTCAAACCTACAGCATATCCTAGTTTTCTTCATAGGTGCTTGGGATTTTCTGGAAGTCCTTCTGCTCATTTCTTACCCTGTTCTTTTCCAGGTGCTCTGACTTCCAATGGTATTAATGCAGATACCAGTGCTGAGATAGGACGTGCCAAGAATTGCCTTAGCCCTGAAGACATCATAGATAAATATAAAGAAGCCATTTCTTACTATGGCAAGGTAATCCTGCTTAATTTTAAGAAACTTCACTGAAATTCTTGTGAATAATGAATTGCTCTGGTTTTGGTTTCAGAGGATCTTCTAAAGCACGTGCAACAAAGTTTGTAAACCTTATGGTAATGGAAGAAACAGGAATAATTTATGCTGTTGCATTAAGTGCTTGGTTTAGAGTCTGGGAATGTCAGAACGTGGGTAAAAGACAACAGCAATGTGCTGAGTAAGCTATTTACTGTGCCTTCTAGTACCTGGAGGTTTTGGATTAACTGTCTTATATTTTTAAAGCACTCTAAGCAGAAGTATTAGATACTTGAAGGTTTGTTAACCCTTACATATGTTTATGGTCTTTAATACATACATCAACTCCAGTGATGCTTTTATGTACTGTGTAAGTAGAATGCTTATTTACTGTGCCTGCTGGAAGGTTCTCTGGGGAATTCAGAAGTTTCTGAAGAGGTTGCTGATGATGGGTATGATCTTATGGTCTTGTTCAGGGAGGCTGGAGTTTAGAGCATGTGGAGAAATAGGGGGTCCTGGAGGAAAGGTGAAGGACAAACATTTCTAAAAGAGGATTTGGCAAAATTAAACAGTTCTCAGCTCTACTGGAGCATTTCTGTAGATCTGTGTGCAGATGCTCGGTGCATAATATAAAGGTGATAAGGTAGCTTAATGTTTGCATTCATAACATGAAGAGGAAAAAAATATACTGTGACAATAGTGGCTCAGTATCCACATCAACAGTAAGGATAAGTTTAATTGTATTGCAGTGTAGTTATTTATGCTTTAATCACTGCTTAATTCCAGGTATCTCTCTTGTGTGATACTGAAAGTATCTTTAGACTAAGCTATGTAAATACCATGTGGCATTTCTGTGTCTGTTGAAGAGGACTCTCCAAATGAAACAAGATAAATTCCGTATGTGGGTTAATTTACGATCAGGAGCAATGAAAGGTGATAGCTTTGGGGATAGGTTCACATAATTTTGAATCCATCAATATAACAGTAATTTGTAAGTACGCATTCAGGTTTTTGTTACCTTACGGGCAAGTTGCTCCTCAGAAAGAATGATTTCTTTAGAAGGAAGAAATTGGGGTGGTAAATTTATATTTTTATTATAATAATATACGTTATGCTCTCAGCGAGTAGTCACTATGCTTCCTTGCAGCTTTACTTGCACGTAGCAAAGATCTGTGTCTTGGGACTGATCTGTAACTGTTCAAGCCAAGCATAGTTAAGCTTTTGTCTGTTTAAGACTGGAAGGTAGAATAACTTGTAGTTCTAATGCTGAGGAAGCAGCATTATGTATTCTTCTTTTCTTTCTATGTATTTTTTGTTATCTCTTTAGAAACTTTTGTAGCATCTTCTAAAATGGGTTCAGTCCCCAGTGATTTGTTTTTTGCTGATATAAGTACATGAGAGGCTTAGGGAAGAGTGGATGAGAAGCTGCTCATGGAAAAGGACCTGGGGACCACTGAACATGAGCAGCTTGTGCCCAGGCAGCCAAGAAGCCACCAGCACCCTGGCCTGTATGAGCCCCCGTGTGGC